TAGTGAACCATGTCCGCGCGCGACAGAAGCTGGAGCTTCTCTGGTCTTTCCTGAACCCTCGTTTTCTCCGTTTCCCCCACAACTGCTTTTTCTGCCTTTGCCTGTCCAAATCCTCCTGGCTTGTCTTGGACTTGCAACTCCTCCAGCATCTCCTGAACCTCCTCCGAACCTGACAGGATTTGACGTGTTGCTTCCAGAGATATAGAAGCGGAAGACGCGTTAGGGGGTATCAACGCATGAGCCCTTTCATTTCCCCCACAGCGTTCTCCTGGGAATTCTTTCATCAGTCCGTGCTCCTCCTCTTCATCGCTGCTGGAAGCAATGTGGTCCCATTTGCTGTAGTCAATAGAGCTTGTGGTAGCAGCAGCAAGAGGAGCAGCCGCATCAGGAAGCGCAGCAGAAGCAGGTGCTGCGGCTGGAGCAGGAGAAGAAGCATCAGCCGGAGGAGGGAGCACAACAGCATCCGGCGCAGAGGTGGTAGCAGCAGTATTTGGAGCTGCAGCGACAGCACGAGGCACATTGACAGCAGGGTCAGCAGCAGGACTGATCGCACCCTGTTCAGCTTTCGCCTTGGCTTTACTATGCACAGCTTTCACGGGAAGCACCTTGATGGTCGAAGTAGATTTGAGCTTCGCCTGTTCTACGGTTGAATCAGGTGAGAGGTAAACCACCTGGCCAAGTACCATAAAACGGACCTGCTGGGTCCGAGCCGCTGACCGGCTTTCCTCCAGCGCTCTCCCGCCGTCTAATGCTAGTTCTTGTGATTCGCATGGTAAGCAGTAGTTTGACAGATGGGACTTAAATAGTCTGTGGAATACTAATCGAAGAGTCTCTTTTAGAGCGACAGGTATAGCAACGTCCACGTAAGACGATTGAGATGGCTTACTTTCAGAACAGCTGTCGGTACATGATATGCTACTGACGACGCCATTGCTAAAGCATCCCGCTACCTCTTTGTTCCCATGATCGTCGGATTCACGTCGAATCAGATCAGACGGGACCCTGAACCTAACACCGAAAGACATTTCGTCGGGACGATTTCTTTAAGCGCTAGCTACGGCAAAGAAGACAACATGCTGATCGCCGGATTCACCTCGAATCAGATCAGACGGAACCCTGAAGCTAACACTGAAAGACAATTCGTCGCGACGATTTCTTCAGTGCAAGTTACGGCAAAAAAACAATGCAAATTAGAGACGAGGATTCACTCGAGGTGTTCTCAAACGAGACGAGCCGAATCTAAGGTTGAAGATGCTACCATGGGACAATATGGATGTCTGGAATGGAAGCAGCAGAAGGAATTCCGTTTTGCATCTCTGTCGTTCCAGCTGCTGTGCTGAGAAGCTTGGTTTGGTGGGTCAGACTCCGCAGTGGCAGGTCAAACGTAGCTCTGGGCGAATATGCGGGAAAGAAATGTGGAGTAACAAAACGGATACTGTACCTTTTTTATTGCCAGATTTCGCAACGAAGAATTGGGTGCAGTAGTTGCGAAAAGGGAATAGCAGGACTGGGTGCGAAGCAGGAAAACGAAAATGGATGGGGATCAACCTCACGAACAAAAGAGTTCGTTGAAATTCATGCACTCCGGTAACCAGCCCAGAGTGGTGTCACTTCGAATCTGAGCAATTTGATCGGTAATTTCGACGGGGTCGCGAACACCCGTCACTGGAAACCACTTCGTCAACGTCAGCGGAGAGGCCAGCTCAACTCCCTAGAGCCATCTTTACTGCAGGCAGCACCAGAAACAATAATCCTGCTTTCATTGTTTTTTGTGCATACCTAGAACTAGCGTCCTGGAGAACCACACCTAGCCGACCATGGAGGGTAAGTTGTTGGCGAATTTTGCGGATATGACTGAGTTGTTGCAGTTCGATTTAACAAATTCATTTTCCAGGTCAACGCCTGTTGCACAAAGTTATTAGGGAGGGGAATTTCAGTGAAGTGCTGAAGGTTCTGGACAAGGGAGTCGACATTGAAGCGAGGGACGCTGTAAGAAAGCTCCCTTCCTCTTCGTAATCTTAACGTTCCAGAATTGAATCATGACGTCATAGTTTTCGAATTTCAGGAAGGCCAAACTCCTCTCCACGTGGCTGCAAGGCTCGGCCACGAGCGTATTGTCGACGTCCTTCTTATCAAAGGCGCGAAAGCTGAAGCACGTGACACTTGGGTTCGTAGCATGCAAATCGATTGCTGTTTTTTCCACGAACATCCGTTCAAAATTCTCGTCGCATGTATCAGGGCCAATGGACTGCTCTGCATCATGCCGTTTGGGGAGGTGGAACTGGAGCGGTAAAGCGTTTGCTTGACCATTCCGTTGACAAAGATGCTCAAGACAAGGTTAGATTTGTTGTGTTTGAATGCAATTTTCCGGTGCGTCAGTCATATTCACTCCTACTACAGGAAGGTCAAACGCCTCTCCATCTCGGAGCAATGCTTGGACGTATCGTGGAAGTCATCATGCTGTTAGAATCTGGAGCCAATCACGATGCACGGGATCAGGTAGTTCTTGGCAGTCGTGAGACATGCCTTCCACTATTTACTGAAACGAGAATTGCCATGCAGAAATTCTTTACTCCGCTGCACTGCGCAGCAGCATTCGGCACAGTCGAGCTCGCACAAGTATTGCTGCAAAGAGGAGCTGACAAGACTGCCAAGACCAAGGTAAGATCCTCAAACCGAGACATTTCCAATACAGCCCAAGTTAACCTAATCTGTTTCAGGATGGGAAGACGCCATTGCAAATAGCCGAGTCTAATAAGCGACATGATGTTGTCCAAATGTTTCATCGTTATGGATCAAAGCGATCAAGTCAGGTATGTTGCACTTCTGTTACTGAGGCATTGTTGCCTGTGAACATGGTGGTTCCTGACATTGCCATATTTCAGGTAAATGCTGCTTCTATTCAAGGAACTATCAGTCAAGTGGAGATAATGAAGCGAGCTGAAAATTCTGTCGGCAAAGCATATGATGAGATTGCTGTTCGAGAAGCATCAGGCAGGATCGAAAAGCTCGAATTATCTCTACAAGAAGCACAGAAGAAGGCTGTAGCTGAAGAAAAGAGGAGACTTGGAGCTGAGGCGAAGTTCGTCACTGAGTCCAACAAGCGGAAGGAGGCCGAAGCAAGAGCCTTGGATGAGGAGAAAAAACGGAAGGATGCAGAGGCACGGAAGAGGGTTCTCGAAAAGCAAATGGCTGACGCTATGCACACAGCAAGTGAAGGGGAACAACTGAGACAAGAGATGGAAAACCAGCTTGATTCTGAGAGGTCTTTTCGGATCAATGCCGAGAAAAAAGTTGTTGAACTTCAACGGAGGCTGGAGCTGGTGGAATGCCAGCTGCATGAGGCTGCACATTTAAGACGCATGGCAGAAGTCAAGGCGAAGGAAGAAGAAGAGAAGCGGCAGAAGCTTGAGACAGCATTCAATGAGGTTGAGAAAACGCATAAGGAGTACAATATGAAAGTGAAGGCTGATCAGGAGGTGTTGAAGGGCATGACCTTGAAGCTTGAGGAGTCGGAAAACAAGCGACTGGAGCTGGAGCTGAAGTTGAAAGAGGAAGCTGAAAGGTGTCGCAAGATGGAAGCGTTTAATCGCCAGGAATTGAAGCTCAGAAAGGAGGAGGAAAAAATGCGAAGGGAGTTTCAGGCCAAGCTTCAGGAGGAAGGAAAGAAGCGGTCTCTGGCAGAGCTCAGAAGTGGAGATGAGGCAAAGAAACGGGCGCGAGCTGAGATTAAGGCTCTGGCGGAAGAGGGCAAGGTGCATGAGCTGGAGGCGAAGCTTGGTGAAATGCTGGCCAGGAACAAGGAGCTGGAGAGGAAACTTGCTAATGCACAAGACTCCCTTAAGAAGGATCTGCACGGTGAAATTGCTGGTACGGTGCTTGGGGAGGAAAGATCAGAGAACTCGCAACAGCGGAAAGATGTTGAAGATGCCGAGACAGTGAAGGAGGGCGAGAGAGAGAACAGGAAAACAGATCCCTTGGGTGCTGATGTCAACGGTGCTGCAGTGGCTGAAGAACTGTTGTCCCAGGAGACTGGAGTGAGCCCTCAACATGAAGAACTGTGGAGGCTGAGGGAGTTGGTGAAGGTGCAGGAGCGCCAGCTTGATGAGTCCAAGGAAGTGATCAAGACGCTTATGTCTGCAGCTGAGATGGGAAGTTCAGTCAGGACATCTCGGGCTTCAAATGACCCTATCTCTCACGCGAGATTGTCTGCAGCAGAACCTCCTGCTGGATCCACAAGTGAGGCTGATGAGGAAGAGGAAAGTGCAAAGGAGCCAGAGAATCAGCAGCAGCCCTTCAAATCAGATGTTGAAGTCTTGAGGTCTGAAAACGCATCTCTTCATTCTGCACTGCAGAATCTTTCTGCGAAGGTAAAACCTGCAATCCCTTCTGAATCTTGTATGTATAGTATGTTCCTAACGTGCATTTCTCATGTGCAGATCCTTGAACACTCTGATTGCAAGAGCATGATTGAAGATCTCCATGCTGAGAGGAAGAATCTGAAAGAGCAGCTGGCTCATGAAAAGAAATTACGTGAAGGCCTAAGCATTGAAGTGAAGGAAGCCAAACGGAAGAAAGAGGAAGCAGAGATAAAGGCTGCAGCTATGAAGGAGTGTCTGGCAAAAGTTGAAGTAGGAGGACATCCTTCCACTGCATCTCCAAAGGATAGTCCCAGCAAAGGACCAACAATGCTGGAGAAGCTGAAGATGCGGACACCACGGGTGTTTGAAATTCAGCACAAGTGATGCAGTTGTTCTGAACATGGTGGTGAAAGTAGAGAATGCAGGAAGGGTTGCCACATGCATGTATTTTTCTCGTCTATGGGCATAATGGATTCGCTGTTTTGACTAAGCATAGAGCGGTTCAAATCAAATGATGGTGTTACACGAACAAGAATAAATTGCACTTCTGTTATGCACTGTTTTTTTTTTCAATTCAAATTGCAGTTTTGATTCAGCACAATCATGCTTTCCCTTGACTCAACCTCTCTTGCACATGCTTCAGAGCTCGCGCAGCTGCCTCATTTGCAGGTACCTTCTCTTCCACCAGGAGACGTTGAAACTCTTCACGTACTGCCACAGCAAATTGCTCTCTAGCCGCTGCTGCTGCCGCTGCTGCAGCTGCTGCGGTAACCACTGAAGATGGCAGTGAAGCTTTTCCCCCATCACAAACGGCATGGCTATTGCCGTCCACAGCTCCTGTGGCTGTATGTGTATTCTGATCATTTGCCTGTGCAGGCTGCTGGCGTGCAGTGTAAAGGTCAAAGCACGCAAGCTGAAGGCAGCTGCAGGAAGGATCTCGGACGGCTGAGATGACAAGCCTGCGAGACAAATAAGGGGAGGGAAGGAAGGGAGGGGTAATTGCCAGAGTTTCTTGTGAATCTTACAATTGCCCTGTTAGCTGGGCTGTACAGTCAAGTTACAAAGTGACCCCTGCCATGTTGCAAACGTTTAAGGCTGTGAAATGCAGAGTTGCCCTGATATGGTTTGGCATTTGCCACATACAGATCTGCAGATGCAAAGATGAGTGGTAGGAAAGCATAGAAGAAACGACCTCCACAAAGCTTCATAGCTGCACAGCAAGGCACATTCCTCAATGGGTCTAGCTTTGTTTTGGTACCTGAATAGAGTCGCTCGGTGGGGCAAAGCTGTACCTGAATAGAGTCGCTCGGGGCAAAGCTGTACCTGAATAGAGTCGCTCGCTGGGGCAAAGCTGTACCTGAATAGAGTCGCTCGCTGGGGCAAAGCTGTACCTGAATAGAGTCGCTGGGTTTTGTTTAGCTGAGCCGATTGGAAACACTCGAGTCTGATGCCTGCTGCTGAATTGCACAGCAGCCTGTGTGTCCAGAACGCCCCAAGTCTTTCCGCCGTCCTTGCTGGCTTGCAGCGACCTGATACAGTGTACGGAGTGCATGGGTGGAATGGTATATTTCACAAAATCACGCATTGTACAGTGTTTCAATGAAGTGATGAAAATCTGGCAGTTAAAAAAATCTAGAGGTTGATTGAAACGAATGTGTTGTTCTTCACTACCATCAAAAACCTTATTTGAGACTCACCAGCAGCAGGGGTCCCTTTCTGGGCAATCATTCGCCGATGTAATTGAATACATGGTGACTGTAACAGGAGCGGAGCCACTGAGCCGATACTGTAACCATGCACCTGCCAAAGGGAGTGCCACCAGAACAAAAAGAACGTTCACAGAAGGACAATAATGTTTGGTCTGATGCCACAAGCTGGATTCAGCTCGAGATTGCACTCACAATTAATGAAGCATGTGAATGCCTTGGATGGCATTGGATGGCACGTCATGGCATGGCACGTCAGGGTGAGTTTTGAGTCGACTCAAAACTCACAGGGAGTGCCACCAGAACAAAAAGAACGTTCACAGAAGGACAATAATGTTTGGTCTGATGCCACAAGCTGGATTCAGCTCGAGATTGCATTCACAATTAATGAAGCATGTGAATGGCTTGGATGGCATTGGATGGCACGTCATGGCATGGCACGTCACGGCATGGCATGGCATGGCATGGCATGTCATGGCATGGCATGGTATGGCAAGTAACGTCACAGCATGGCACAATGGTGGTGTTCTGGTGACTCCTGCGGGGGGGGGGGGGGGAGGAGGGGGGGCGAATGTAACTGATGATGGTTCCGAAAGGTGTTTCAGGGCTCGATTTCTCCACCTCCCGCTTTTGAGTCGACTCAAAAGCAGATTTCTCCACCTCCCACTTTTGAGTCGACTCAAAAGCAGATTTCTCCACCTCCCGCTTTTGAGTCGACTCAAAAGCAGATTTCTCCACCTCCCGCTTTTGAGTCGACTCAAAAGCAGATTTCTCCACCTCCCGCTTTTGAGTCGACTCAAAAGCAGATTTCTCCACCTCCCACTACAACCGAAGATGGGAAATTTCGGGCGCGAGGGGTGGAAGGCTCCGACGGTAAATGAAGAACCTGTGGGTACATTTTCCTGGTCCAGAAACGGGGGTATCGCATTTGGCGCGAACAGGGAAAAATGGTTACAAACAAAAACTAGGGTGACTCCTTCTCGAAACAAACAGCTCACCAGGAACAAACACCTCACCAGGAACAAACACCTCACAAGGGTTTGCACTAAGAAGGGGACGTTGTTTTTTTTTTTTTTTCCTGGTTCTTGCGCGTGTGTGTGCGGCGTGCAGTCAAGCAGTCTTTAGTTTCACGGGTAGAACGTCGGTGTTCCTACCCCCAGCTCCTCTCTTCTCTGGCTGTCCCACTTTCCCGTGAAGAGTGGTTGCCGGAAGGCAAGGCGAGAGAGGCAAAATTTGCCTGAGGAGGAAGGTGGGGAGGGTAAATGTGCAGCTTCCAAGTGGTCCACATCCCTGAGGGTAAATGAGTGTTCTGTTGGCATTTACCTTCGTTTTGGTTCAGAGGACAAATAGGTGGCTCGGCACGGTTATACGGGCTGACCGGCGTGTCTAACCAAAAAACGCAGAGGGGAAGATTCCTATTTCCCCTCGCTCCCCCTCCGCCAGTGCCTAGAGAACACCACCAGTATGGCATGGCAGCTGGGAACATCTTACCTTTCCCTCCCTCATGGTGCAGCCATTTGGTGTGCAGCGCTGCATCGCATGCTGAGACGGCCTGGGACGGAGGGCAGAGCAGAGGGATGGAGGGACGGGGGATGCATGGATGGGTGTGGCATATGATGGTTATGCACATGGAAACATGCCAGAACATCACATTTATTTGATGTGCAGCGATGCATCACATGCTGATATCGCCTTGGACAGAGGGCAGAGCGGATGGATGGATGTAAAGTGAGAGCATTCATTGAGTTGAGACACACACCCCACAGCCACAGTGAAACAGAGTAAACTCTTCCATCCACAGCCACACCCACCCATCTCACCATCACTCCCATCTCACCATCACTCCCATCTCACCATCTCATTGGGTGTGTTCTCCCCATCTGCTGACACCCAGCCGCAACACACCCAGACAGTCACGGCATGGACTGAGCTGAGAGCATTCATTCAGTTGAACCACTCTACAACCATCTCAACACCTCACCATCTCATTGGGAGCGTTCTCCCCATCTGCTGACACCATGCCACCACACACCCTCTCATGCTGCACCAACCCCTGCAGCCACGATGCATCTCCACCCCCACCATTCCCGGCCCGCATCTCCAATGCCTGCTTGACACGTGGCAGCACCTCCTGTGCTGCCTCCATCGCCATAGCTGCCAGCACAGCCCGTTTTCCGTACCTCCACCCTCCCACCCCTTTTTCCTCCGCCACTACTCCCCCCTTTTCTTTCCTCGCCTCTGCACTGGCCCCCTCTACTCCTTCAGCTTCACACTCCTTCACCCCGACTATCCACCCCGCCCCCTCACTCCCCTCCTTCTCTCCCTCCTCCTCCTTCCAGATCTGAACCCCCATGGCAGTCAGGAGGGATAGCAGGGGAACAGCAGCAGCAGAAGAGCCACCACTACCAGCAGAGGTACCGGAAGCAGCAACCGCACCACCAGTCCCACCAACCGTAGACGTCGCCAGTGCATCCAAGAGTATCGTGCGAAAGGGATCGCATCGATTGTCGTTGAATGGCAACGAGCGGGAGCGGAAGGGGAGCGAGCGGAGAACAGAGAGCAGAGAGAGGAGAGCGTCTAAAGATGTGCCTAGCGACTTCTGCGCTGTTTCTGCTGCTGCTGATGCTGCTTCAAGACTTGGAGAGCCAATAACATAACGACACATGTCCCCTACAGCAAGCAGCAGTGCACCCACATGCTCATCCACCATCCTCCTCTCCAACCTCCCATCCTTCCCCTCTTTCCCCTTGTCCCCCCCATCACCCTCACCATTCTCCAACCCCAGTTCCCCCCTCGCTGCTCTCCACTCCACAGAACCAGTCTGCCTCCCTCCCAACACCACACCATCCCTTACCCCTCCCTCTTCTCCTCCTCCCTCCTTCCCTCCTCCCCTCCCTCCACTCAGCTCCTCTCTCTCCCTCGCATCCCTCTCCTCCAACCGCCTCCTCTCGTCCACATTAAGACTGGCTCGAGCTCTTGCTGTCACCGCTGCCACTGCCGTTGCCACAGCTGCCTCTGATGCTTCTGTCCGCCTGTGCTGGAGCTGATTAGAGGGAGCGGGTTTGGGTGGGTGGAGGAAAAGTGGGAGGGGGGAAAGGGGGAAAAGGAAGGATGGTTGAGGACGAAAAGAGAAGGACTGTCTGCAGCTACCGCTAGCTTCAATCAGCTGCCGCTGCGACTGAGGCCACTGTGCTGCCACCTTCTCTCTTTGAACAGCCTCCTCCCATCTACACCAAGCCCAGCTCGAGCCCTCGCTGTCACCGCTGCCACTTCTGCTGCTACTCCCACCTCTGATGCTTCTGCCCGCCTGTGCTGGAGATGAATGGGAGGAGGGTTTCGGCGATTGGGAGAACAGTGGGAGGGAGGGGGAAACGCTGGTTGCGGACAAAAAGCGAGCAATGGTCTGCCGTTGTCATCACCACCACTGCTGCTGCCACTGCTGCTGCTACAGCTGCCTCTGATGCTTCTGTCCGCGTGTGCTGTAGCTGATTGATCGGGGAAAGAGAGTGTTGAACGGTCGGGTGAGGAGGAAGGATGCGTTAACACTGAGCTCAGGTCGGGTGAGGAGGGAGGCGAGGAGAAGGAAGGATAGCTGAGCTGGGCTTGAGTTGATTGTGGTTTGGGTGGTTGGGTGGGCGGTAGCGGGAGGCAGGGGGTGTGGCAGGAAAGGTGGTTAGAGAAGCCGAGTGAGCAATAGCCTGCACTTGTAACTACTCCGCTGTTGCTCCTGTTGCTCTTACTGCTCTTGTAGCTCTTGTTCCATGTCATGAGATGTGAAGGTGTTGTTTCAAGAGCCCTCGTTTGACTTGTGGGTCTGGTTTTGAGTCGACTCAAAAGCTGTTCCATGGCATGTGATGTGAAGGTGATGATGTTTCAAGAGCCCTCGTTGACTTGTGAGTCGTTCGTGACCAGGTGAAAGAAGGAGTGTTTTGAGACGTCTCAAAACACTCCTTTCACGTTTGACTTGTGAGTCGGTCGTGGCCAGTGACAGTGACCTACTTACACACGTGACCAGTGACAGTGACCTACGTGTGTAAGTAGACGACTTTTGAGACGACCAGTGACAGTGACCTACTTACACACGTGAGACGTCTCAAAAGTCGTCTACTTACACACGTGACCAGTGACAGTGACCTACCTCGCTCCATTTTCGTGTGTATCTTCTGATGACGTCAGCAACCCCATCCCTCCCCACTCCAAACACGTACGACAGCTTCTTGCCCCACCTGTGCACCCATCCACCAGATTACACAAGAGTCCATGCATGGAACAACAAGGTGATATTTGATTTGACTCAAAAATCACGTACAACAGCTTCTTGCCCCACCTGTTCACCCGAGAACAGTAGACAATAGAAAGATTCACAGCATTTGATTGCAGGTGCTACCTGCTCTGCAGTGCTACCTGCTCTGCAGTGCTGTATGCATGCATCCATAGCAAACTGTGTCTGCAAACAGCACTGGGACTGGTGGAAACGACAAATGGGTGCAAACAACCCTTTATTTTAACTTCATGGCATGGTTTGATAAACCGGTGGCTGACAGCCAGTCAGTCAGACCTACAAGCAGGGGTGTCGACAGCTATCAAAATCTTTATCTTCCTATAGATCAATAGATCACTCAAATCAAGGATCTGTGGCGCAATGGTAGCGCGTCTGACTCCAGATCGGAAGGTTGCGTGTTCGATTCACGTCAGGTTCAATTCCTGCTTTTTTTCCTCCTAGCGGTTCTCCTCAAGCCGCGAGCTGCAACGACCATGTTTGCGTCTCGTGTTCATGCCCTGTGATGTGCTGCGATCCAACGGCTTGGAGGGAAAATGACCTGGTCGACACCGCATCACTGAGATGTGCAGTTCTCGTTTTGTGTAACGGATGATTTGCAGGGCTTTATGGCTGGAACCAGGTCAGTCAGAGTCAAAGACTCTTCTGGCCCAGGAGTGGACCAATGCAAGCCACTGGAGTTACCACTCGTTACAATCACCCCGGCTCACAATCAGTTTTCTTTTCCATGATTATAGGAGGACCCTGGCGAGAGGACGAGGGGTGGCGCGAATCCACCGGCCATGTTGATGATACTTTTGAGAATTCTCAAAAGCAACATCCACATAAGGGACCCAGGCAAGAGAGGTCAAGGGGTGGCAAACCCACTGCCCATTCCGTGCGACGTTTTTTATTTGACGAAAGGATACGCGCAAATAAAGTCGGCCTACCTCGCTTTCGCCCTATTGCACAGATGGTGATTACTCTTGCCTTGCCCAGGAATTCATCCCAAGTGGCAAACCTCACCACAAAACCATCCCCACCTAGCACTAGCCATTCCCACCCCACCCAAACCCCCCATGCAACCACTCTCCACCCACCCTTTTTCGTAGAGCAGAGGCGTGTCAAAGGCTGCTTCACACGGGTCCAGATGCAGCCACCTGCACGGGGGTGGGAGGGGGAAGTGTTTTTTGCTCTTAGAAAAACAGATGCAGTGTGTGAAACTTTCTAGCACACCAGACATCACAACACTAAGCTCACTCACCCTATCTTTGATCCCTCATCACGAATCAAATTGCACGCACCTCTGCTTAGCAAGAGAGTAGCACTCAGTCAACACATGATCCGTCCAATCCACTGCCTGTCATCCCCGCCACAGTATGGCCGCCATACCCACCAAGTAACTCTGCCACCTTTGCCCACCACTAGTAGAACCCATTGCACGCACCTCTGCTTGGCATGCGAGTAGCACTCCGTCCACACATAGTCCGTCAATCGGACTCGGTCAATTCAATTCACCCACTTCCACTGCCTCTGATCTGCTGCTATCCTCACGACGACCCCCACTACACGCACCTCTGCTTGGCATGCGAGTAGCACTCCGTCCACACATGATCCGTCCAATCCACTGCCTGTGGATATCACATGCACACGCACACGCACATGCACACGTACATGCAGGCATGCAGATTTGCAAACATGCAATTGTACCATCCACGACCCACCCATGCATGCATGCATGCATGAACATGTGAACAAACATGCAAAATTTGAATGAAGACAAACGCATTATCTCAAGACTGAATTGAGCAGAACTGCATCAGCTAGCATAACCACAGCCACGTGTATGAAGAAGTGTTTTGAGACGTCTCAAAACACTTCTCCATGCACAGCCACAGCCGCTCACATGTTATCCATCACCTCCACACGCCTGCCTGGAATCACTATAGTCATTCACATACAGCTGCCGAGCATCGCTATAATCACACCTGCCTGGCATCGCAATAGTAACTTACACCTGCCTGGCATCATAGCCAAGAGCCCGGCAGCAGGGGGTGAAGGTGTTTTTTTGTAGAATTCGCAGAACTGAAGCATGCATAGTCTCCCTATAGCCACAGCACACACTCACACACACCTGCCTGGCATCGCTACAGTCACATCACAACACACCACACCACACCACACCACGCGCACTTGCCTGGGATCGCTACATCACATCACATCACACACACACCTGCCTGGCATCGCTACAGTCACATCTACCTGCCTCTCTATGATCACACACACCTGCCTGGCATCGCTACAGTCACATCTACCTGCCTCTCTATGATCACACACACCTGCCTGGCATCGCTACAGTCACATCTACCTGCCTCTCTATGATCACACACACCTGCCTGGCATCGCTACAGTCACATCTACCTGCCTCTCTATGATCACACACACCTGCCTGGCATCGCTACAGTCACATCTACCTGCCTCTCTATGATCACACACACCTGCCTGGCATCACTACAGTCACATCTACCTGCCTCTCTATGATCACACACACCTGCCTGGCATCATAGCCCAAAGCCCGGCAGCAGAGAGTGAAGGCATTGGCCCACTCGCCACAGCGGCCCTCCCTGGTGTCCAGAAGCTGGGTGGTGGGAGGGGGGGAGGGAAGGGGGAAGGGAGGTTGAGAAAGAAGGGCAACCGTGGATGGATGGGACAGCTCAGCCCTCGCAGAGAAAAGCAGAGAGTGAAGGCGTTGGCCCACTCCCCACAGCGGCCCTCCCTGGTGTCCAGAAGCTGGGGAGAATGGGAGGGAAGAATGAGAAGGGGAGGAGGAAAAGGAAAGGGAAGAAGGCCGGATGTGAACCAGCTCAGCCCTGTCCACAGTGGCATGAAGAGAGGACGGTTCATACGGAGGAGATGACAGGTTACACCGAGGACCTGACAGGTCAGACAGAGGAGGTGACACGTCAGACCAAGGCGGCATATGAAGGCAAGGCAGTAGTGGATGGGTATGGAAGACTATTGTTGTATCGCACAAAGTGACACACGGCACATGGGTAACTCTTGAGTCGACTCACAAGTCAACTGATGTTGGAGTCTTTTTTTAGAAATTTTGAGACAGAATTCTAAAAAATGACCTTTGAGTCGACTTAGAAGTTCCCTAATGCTGATAGGTGAGGCGCACGCAGTCCTGTCCCTGTGCCTTTATCTGAATCTGTATCTGAATCTGTATCTGTATCCATATCCATCTTTGTGCTTCCTTGTGCCTCCTTCTGACTAACCTTGGCAGGGTCGTTGTACCGCACGAAGCGAGCCACCGTGCCGCACTGCTTGCACCTGACATGACATCAACACCCAACCCCACCAAGCACACACTCAGAACAAGAAAGTCAGATTAAGGGATGAATAGGACGTCTCAAAAGGCACTCACACCCACCCGCACCGCACGCACACAGAACGATGGGGAAGTTGGGTAATCAGCAGGTAATCAGTGGAAGGAGAGTGCTGTTGCTGTGTAAGGCACAAGTGCAGAAGCGGAAGCGTAGACACTTCTAACGCTCAAACCTATGCCTCACAACCCCCCTCTCTCCTTCCCCCTTCCCCACCCCCTTTTTCTTTCACCTGTGCAGCTCCACGCAGTTACCCCTCCATTGCAGGTCATCAGTGGATGGAGTGCTGCTGCCGTGGAAGGCACAGGTCGGGGTGCGGCAGCATATACACTCCTAACGCTCAAACCTGTGCCTCAAAACCCCGCCCCTCCCTCCCTCTCCTCCCCTGCCCTAGCCCCTCACCTGTGCAGCTCCACCCGCTCCCCCCCCCATAGCAGATCATCAGTGGATGGAGTGCTGCTGCCGTGGAAGGCACAGGTCGGGGTGCGGCAGCATATACACTCCTAACGCTCAAACCTGTGCCTCAAAACCCCGCCCCTCCCTCCCTCTCCTCCCCTGCCCTAGCCCCTCACCTGTGCAGCTCCACCCGCTCCCCCCCCCATAGCAGATCATCAGTGGATGGAGTGCTGCTGCCGTGGAAGGCACAGGTGGGGGTGCGGCAGCGGGGGCATGGAGGGGAGTCCACCCATCTGCATAGAGGGGCGGGGACAAGGACAGAGGAGGCAAGATAGACAAGGAGTGAGCATAGGGGTGAGGGCTGGAAGGGGCAGGTGATGGGTGATGGGGTTGTGGCAGCGGGGGCACAGGGGAGAGTCCATCCATTTGCATGGGGAAGCAGGGCGGGCAGCAATAGGGAAAGGCGGGAGGGAGGGAGGGAGAACGGGGGGCAAGGGGCAGGGTAGGTGTTGAGGACTAGTCCAGGAAGGACCGATAAGGCAAGGTGGGAGTACGGCAGTGAGTGAGTATATGTAGGGAGTACAGCAGGGAGCTAAGTCAACCCACTCCTGTCCTGTGGAAAGAAACCGCACTTTACTCACCTGCATTCAACTGAACCGCACTGCAATCACCTGACGGCGGTTCCAGCGCATACGTTCACAGCTCATCCTGTGCGGTTAATCCTATTGCGCCCTGGTGCAAAACGGTAAAGATTACCAACCGCTGTGCACCGCCTGATATCGTCTTGCACCATGACGGATGAACTGAAAACGTATGCTTTGGACACGCCCTCCTGAACAACACTGCAATCATTTGAACCTCACTGCTATCACCTGAACTGCAATCACCTGAACCGCACTGCAGTCACCTGAACCGCACCGAAATCACCTGAACCGCACTGCAATCACCTGAACCAGGACTTGAACCAGACCAGTAGCTGCCTCAACAGAGCGTCACGAAACTCTTCCTCTGACGGCTGGTACTGGCCTTGCTGCGGTGGGGATGAGGGGAGGAAGAATCAGAAGCAGAAGGGGCAGAAGCATGAGAGCAAGGATGACTTGAGTTGACTCAAAATAACAGCAGCTGCCTCAACACAGCGTCACGAAACTCCCCTTCCGACGGCTGGTACTGGCCTTGCTGCGATGGGGATGGGATGGAGGCAGAGGCAGAAGAGCAGGTGTGTTTTGAGTGGATTCACAACACAGCAGCTGCCTTAACACAGCATCAAGGAACTCTCCTTCTGATGGCTGGTACTGGCCTTGCTGCGATAAGAAACAGGTGGTGACAGGGGGAGGCAGAAGCATTAGGGCAGGCGTGTTTTGAGTCGACCCACAACACAGCATCACAGGATGATGGGGAATGGAAGGGGCAGAAGAGGGAGAAGAGGCAGAAGAGGCAGAAGCAGACGAGCGAGTGTGTTTTGAGTCGAACCCACACCATTCCATTCCACCCAACCCGATCCCACCTGACTTGATCCCACCCGACTGAACCGATCCAACTCGACCTAACCCGACCTAACCCGGCCCGGCCCAGTCCGGATCTATGATCATCCTCCGTGCCTACTAATGCGAACCTTAGCTAAGGGAATGCTGCCTCCTACAGCTGCCTCCTCCAGCTGCTGCTGGAGAGGAATGAGGCAAACCCTGACCTGACTTGCTTGGATCCAATCCAACCGATCTTCAGACATAATTCTCAGGGAGCAGCAGTAGCGAAGCTAGGCTTAAAGCAGAAGAACAAACAGCTAGTATTGTACTCGATGTGTAAGACTAAGCGTTCAAAGAGATCTCAGAGCCAACCTCTTGGTTTGGATCCAAACCCTGACCTGACTTGCTTGGATCCAATCCAACCCCTTCAACCCATCTGATCCCGACCCATGCCCATGTGACAGTCATGCCCTTTGCCTACTGAGACTGCAGTTGACTTTTGAGTCGACTCAAAAGTCAGTTTGGATCCAAACCCTGACCTGACTTGCTTGGATCCAACCCCTTGAACCCATCCGATCCCGACCCATGCCCATGCGACAGTCATGCCCTTTGCCTACTGAGACTGCACCGGCCTCCTCCAGCTGCTGCAGGGGAATAAATGAGGCGGACACCAAAACCACCTCACCCAACCGACCAGACCCAACCCGATCCAGACAAAGTTACCATGCGTGCTTACTGAACCTTACCTTGGCTAGGGAGACTGCAGCGCCCTCCTCCAGCTGTTGCAGGGGAATGAGCCGGACCCCGACCCCGACCCCACCCCACCCCACCCCACTCGACCCCCACCCCACCCCACTCGACCCCCACCCCACCCCACCCCGACCCCACCCCACCCCGACCTATGACCACGGCCCATGGTTACTGAGGCGAACCTTACCTTGGCTAGGGAGACTGCAGCGGCCTCCTCCAGCTGTTGCAGGGGAATGAGCGAGCGCGCCTTGGCTTGGCGTGATGGATCCTCGTACTGGAAGGGCAGGGTGTGGGACGAGAGAAGAGATGAGGGATGAAAAAACAGGCAGTAGATGAAGGGACTTCTGAATCGACTCAAAAGTCACCTCTGCTGCAGAGGAATGAGCGGGCGCGCCTCGGCCTGGCTTGATGACGAGTCCTCGTACTGTCGGAAAGTGAAGTGTGGAGTGGAGTGTGTGTAGAGAGGGATGAGGGATCGCAAGTGATATGAGGGAATGAGTGGAGGGCATGCGAAAAAATAATGCCCGAGGGGGAGCCAAGGCCTGAAGAGGAATGAGCGAGTGCGCCTTGGCCTGGCGTGATGGGTCCTCGTACTGGGGGGTTGTGGTGTGTGGAGTGTGTGGAGTGTGTGGAGTGTGTGGAGTGTGTGGTGTGTATGGGAGAGGGTGAACATACACAGGGGGGGGCACAGGAGAAAAAGTAAGGGGAGAGGGGGTCAATAAACTGGTGCACGGGAATGAGCGATCAAGGTGCTTACTACTAGCACAGAGATTAGTGGTCAGCGATTGATGGAATCATAGCCCAAGATAGTGCACCGCATCGCACTGCACTGCATCACATTGCACTGCTCTGCACTCCACTCACCTGCAAAGCATTGCTCCATTGTGACAGCAGTCGCCCCTCCCCTCCAATGCCGCCTGACCAAGTCACCCACCCACCCCCCCTTGCCTTGCCCGTCTTGCACACAACACGCTGCACCACGTGGCACCGTATTGCACCGCACTGCACCGCACTCACCTGCATGACATTGCTCCACAGCGACAGCAGCCGCCTCTCCAAAGCCGCCTGACCCTGCTGCTGCTGTGGCGGCTGCTGCTGCCCCCTCATCTGCTGCAGCATGGCCTGCATGGCATGTGCTTCTGACTGCTGCATCTGCTGTGCCAATGCTGCATCCTCCTCCTCCTGACATGCCATGCCATGCCATTGCAATATAAAGCACCATGACATGCCATGCCATGACATTACCGCGTCATGCACCATGGCATGTCATGTAATGTGATGGTGCCAAAGAAGAGGGAAATCATGAGAGGGGGGGGGGGGGGGGGGGGGGGAAGGCGGGAGGGGTAGAGGGGGAGGCACAGCGCATCAGATGCAGTGACTTGAACTGGTGACATGTGTTTTGAGGCGCCTCAAAACACACCTCACTACAGCGCATCGGATGCAGTGACGAGAACTGGTGATATCGGCTTGTGTGCACAACGTACTGAAGAAGAAGCGTGTCGTGTTCAGATGCACAGTGAGAGGGGGGGGAGAGGGGAAGGAGGGGGGAGGGGTAGAGGGGGGGGGGGGTGGTAGAGGGGGGGGCACAGCGCATCGGATGCAGTGACGTGAACTGGTGACATCGGCTTGTGTGCACAATGTACTGAAGACGACGTGTGTCGTGTTCAGATCAGATGCACAGTGAACCGTGAACGCATGAACACGCATGAACACGCATGAACATGCATGAACACGCATGAACACGCATGAACACGCATGAACATGCATGAACATGCATGAACACGCACGCATGAACATGCATGCACTGGAAAAAGGGCAACAGGGCAGGCAGGGCATGCAGGCAGCAGGAGTGCTGAAACAAAAGAGCATCCACACACGCCACATACCGTCGCCTTGCGATTTCCGCATCATCCTCCCTGCTCCTCATTTAATGGGTGTCAGTTAACGCATGCAGGAACGCTGATACATGCACACATATTGACATCCACACACGCCACATACCTGCAGTCACCTTACGAGTTCCGCATCTTCCTCCCTGCTGCTCTCCCCCTTACCACCCTTAGGATCACGACGAGGAGCTCGCAAGGCGCCAATAGAGCATGCAGGAGCGCTGAAACAAAAGAGCATCCACACACGCTACATACCTGCAGTCGCCTTGCAAGCTCTGCATCATCCTCTCGGCTGCTCTCCCCCATACCACCCTCCTTCCCTTCCTCCTCCTTAGTCGCCTTCGCCTCCCCCTGCTACATACCTGCAGTCGCCTTGCAAGCTCTGCATCATCCTCCCTGCTGCTCTCCCCCGTACCACCCTCCTTTCCTTCCTCCACCGTCGGCCCCTTCTCTCCCTCCGCCCCCTCTGAACCCTTCTCCCCCGTCTCCCCCTCTGCCCCCAGCCTCCCCCGATCGTGCAGCAGCAGCACCGCACCAGTGGCCGGCAGGAGGGAGGCCAAATCCGCATGCGGCGAGGAGAGGTCAAGGGAGGGACCGGAGGAGAGTGAGAGCTGCAAGGGGACCAGGGGAAAGGCAGTAAGAAAGGAGGTGATTCCTGAATAGGCTTCCCTATCGTGCAGCAGCAGCACTGCGCCAGTGGCCGGCAGGAGAGAATCCAAATCCGCATGCGGTGAGGAGAGGTCAAGGGATGGGTCAGCGGACAGGGAGAGCTGCACGGGCGAATGGGAAAGGGGAGGGAGAAAGAACGACCGAATATGTTACAAGGCGCATCGAGATTGAAACGACATGTGGCGAGTGAGGAGTGGTCACGGGACGGGCCGGACGAGAGGGAGAGCTGCAAGGGCGGGCGGAGGGGGGAGAAGAGCAGCCGCTGGTAAGTGGGGATGGCCTTTAACATGAATGAGCATGAGGTGTGGAGAGACGACAGGTCAACGGAAGGAGAGGTCAAGAGACAGGCCGGATGGCAGGAAGAGCTGCCTGCAAGCCTGCAAGGTCAACACGGTCAAATTGATTTATCTGATGAGCTTAAGGGAGTTCCCCATCCAGTCCTAAAGAAACATTGATGCTCGACGTACCACTTGGTTCTCTGGCTCGACTCCTGTGAGCGAGAAGATTTGAATCTGCAACACCTGTGCAACAATGGACGGCCAGGGATGGACGGCAAGAGATGGACGGCCAGGGATGGACAGCAAGGGATGGACAGCAAGGGATGGACAGCAAGGGATGGACAGCAAGGGATGGACAGCAAGGGATGGACGGCCAGGGATGAATTGGGAGGAAATGGGGAGTCGACGGGGACACGGGTGGAGGAGGTGAGGGGGGGTGAAATGTGGCCCGATTCACATCATGCAACGGAAGGGCGGTGTCGGCACATGCACCAGACCAGATAGGTCCGAGTGGGAATATGGATCAGCTGGCTGGGCTGATTTCTGAGGTATAGCAAAATCAGAGGACTGGGAACAAGCTACTTGGGCTGGATGCATGAAAACAGCTCGAAACAGTTAGAGAATAGGCCCAAACCCGCCTCTCCCGAATTGAATTCCTTACAGGTACACCAATTGCATACCCTTCACCGAAGCCTTATCGCTACCTCTCTCCGTCAATTTCTCAGGGAACGAGCAACTCCAGTCCTCTATCGCCTCTGTCCCTGTTCCGACCCACCCGCCCCTCTTGTGGTATATGTGAATTTCATTCGACTCAATAATCGATATCTCTCATCCCATCCCTCAGGAAAAGGAACAGCTCCAGCCGTCTCTCGCCCCCAAACCTGTATAAGACCACCTGTCCCTCCTGTGATATATCCATAGCGCTTGCTTTCACCACCTTCATGCTCATCCCCATCCTCGCATCCTATTCCCCCTTTTCAAATTCCTCATCCGCCGTCGCTACTCCCACCACCCCTTCTCCCGCCTTCCCTGCTTCTCCCGTCCCATCCCTCCTTCCCACAACCCCCCATCGCCTCACCTCCACGCCCATGTCAACTTCCACTTCTATTTCGAACCGCTCCTCACCGAACACTACCGTCACTCCTCGCGCCGCCATCGCGGATAGCACAAAGACCCGCCGCGCTGAACGCGCCACGTGGCGCACCCGCAACTTTGAAGAGGCTACAGATCTCGACTCGTGGCGCGCGAGCAACTGCTGACAGGGTGCGGCGAGTGACACAACGAAACGGCAGCCACGTGGTTTAAGATGATTCGACTTGAGTCCAACTTCGTGCAATCTGAAGCCTGCACTCCTAGTAGGTTGTATTCGTGGTAAAAGGAGAACTCGGGTCGCGTTAATGTGCTGATTGAGAGTGAGTGGAAGAGCGCGAGGCACGTCTCGGGAGATATGACTATATTGCATGCGGAATCTTGCCTTGCCGATGACGGCTGCTGCGTAGGGTGGTCTGAAAGAAAATCAACTTGATACAACCCGTCGTTACGACACTTCAACAACTGGTTTCTCCCTACCTATCTTCAACTGTTAGCTCCCTCACTAAACTGATCGGTGATATATTGCGCTCTCTACCTCACTTCATGACACGAACATGGTCCAATAGTCCGAGTCCGGATGAAGCACTTGGGTCTAATGCAGGGAAGGCGTATTCCTGCGAAGACTTTCGACCGCCCGATGACACCTCTTTAGCAATTTCTGTGTTTGATTAGTGCTACACCACACGAACTGTACTTCCGGAAACGAAATGAGGACCCGCGGGGTCATCATTTAATCCCGCATTGAAATACATAAATACTACTTTCCTGGTCCGACTGGGCGTGGTCGGGCAGGGTTGGCCAACTGGGGATACAGTCTCCGCAGGTCGCTGTAACAAGCCAAACAGATCGGGAAGGTTTCGCTCTCGCCAGTTACTCGTGCACGAATATTTTCGTCGAGGGAACCTACCTGATCCACCTCGTCCATGAGTTTGTCCAGGATTTTCGCGCCAAAACCAACCAGACCTTTCCAGCAGCAGCTCTCCGAAGCCAAAACCAAAGCAAAAACCAGACCAGACCAGCCGAGCCGAACCAATCAGAGCCCTTCGTTGTCGAATGAATGACTTGCTTGTTGCTCGACCTCCTCCTGAGTTGTCGTGACTCTCAAATTCAGGATATTACCGACATTCCCTCAATTGCTTTGCCTTGCATTTGCCATAGTATCAATGAATTAGTGAAGCTTCCTTACGTCAGTGGAGCCTGTACATTATCATATGTAAACTTATAGATTTGCAGGATTCAAGTTGTTCCCCGTTACCACGACGACGCGACGTGAACTTTTCTTAATGGATTTCCACGACGCAGCCATTTTACTCCTGGGCTCATTAGAACAACCAGTTCCGTCAGCTTGCGGTCGATAATCTCTAGGTCGCCGAGAAATGCGTGGTGAGGGATCTGAAAATCGGCGCCTTGTAGCTTTTCACGAAAAATGCGTTAGTGAAGATCGTTTTCGGAACTGGTATCGTGCAACTGGTATAGTATCCTCGTGTTATGAGTAGGCTGGTAGTAGTGCGCGGGAACCACGACAAACATTTCAGGTGTTAATGCTTCATTCATTCCTGAAGCCGTCATCCGTGTAGCTAACCCTTCGACAAGAACCGTGAATCTGCTGGACTTACTTCCACGGCTTTCTATATCCGATTCAGGGTTCCAGCGGGTCTGATTCGACTCAAATCAGGCTACTTGGATCTTCACCTCGCTGTGTCTTTCAAGCGAGTCTCTCGAATCAGTCTATAACGCGCGTCGTCCAACTGCTGCTTACCATCCCCTCAATGTCAGCTCAGGAAACACAAGACGATGAGAACGCGTAAGAAAGGGATTTGAAGGTTCGGAAGCAGCCTGTTCGGTGATCCAAGGTGGCGTGTGCATTTCTTTATTCCACTGCAGAGCAAGCGAAGTTGAGATCCGGATCCGCCATCAGAGTTCTTCCCGTGAAAACCGCGCTTGGAACGCGGACAGGGTAAAGGCAAGGAAGGAGCTGAAGAGGGTGTGACTGGTCCCGCTGCTGCACCTGCTGCGGCTGTTGTTACTCTTCCTACTATCTCCACCAACTGACACCTATTGTCGGACCTACTGCAGCTGCTGCTCCTCTTCCGGCCACTGCCATCCCCACGCCGCGTGTAATTGATTACAACAAGGGGGGCCACCATGGACTCAAGTTCCGACGTGACGATTCAAAAGTCCCCTTCTGCTGTCACACGACCACGTGGGATCGACTACAGCAAGTGGGACCACGTGATCTCTAGCAGTGACGAAGACGAGGGGGAACCAACGGGGAAGAGAGACGGAGGAGGGAGTGGTGGAGCAGTGGAAAACGCCAAAAAATCCGTAGGAGTAATCAAGGTAAGAGACGGCTGTAGTGCAGGTGGGTCCAGCAGCATCCTGGGCAAATACGGCGAGATCTGGAAGAGCCGCGAGGAGGCTGTGAAAAGGTGGAAGTTTCTAGCACAGGCGGCGGTTGGGGCTGGAAAGGCAAAAGTGCCTATGAGGCAGGGAGGGAAAGGAAGAGTGGAAGGTACAGAGTTGCACGGGAAGCTGCAGCTGCTGAGTCGGGCGAATATGCTGCACTATCTGGACGTCAAGGGAGGATGGGGTGCGCGTGAGTGCGAGTGCTGCTTGGAACGCGCAATTTTTTACCGGGCTCGGTGCGGGGTCTACGTGACCAGCCTCAAAGACTTTCGGGACGAAATATGCAAGCCGGAGCTGAAGTTCGTTCCCTTGGCTCCCACACGTAGGGTTTCTTATGACCCAAAAGCCAGGGCTGCTTTTGAGTTCTCCTCAAAAGTTCAAGCGTTTGGGGTGGGGAGGAGGAGCTGAGGGAGCGGCCTGAGGTGCAATTCTGTTGCAAGTGTGAGCTGGCGCCGTTGCTGTGTGTGGAAGCCATGATGACGGACTGGCTGTCTGAGCCTCGTGTGGGTGTGCTCATGGACCTGGGGAAGATCAGATCCCGCCTGCCTGCCATTCTGGCTGCTACTGGTACAGATGCTGCTGCAGGTGTCCCTGCTGTTAGTGCTACTCCTGACTCGGCTGAAGCCACTCCAGTGTGGTCCAGCTGCTGGCGCTGCAGCAGCTGCTGGGCTGCCTACCGCCGTGCTGTCAGCTTCGCTGCCTTCCTCGTGCTTGTAGCGAGATCTTCCCTCTTTCTGACGCTATGGCAGACTCGCATAGAGTCTTGGGATCTGGCCTACCCGGCAGTATTGATGGAGCTGGGGGCGCGTAGGCAGGCGGAGAATGATTGTGTTGCGTCCATGCTGGTGCAGGTGTTAGGGGTTAAGGAGAGTGCTGATCTGCAGGAAGGGTTTGGGTTCTTTGTGCAGCATTTGCTGTCAGGTGGGCTGGAGAAGGTTCATGCTGAGGAAAAACGGAGAGGGGGCGCTGTTGGTGCAGTGGGGGGAAGGGGTGCTGCTGATAATTTCGAAGGAGAAATGGAGGAGAAGGATGAGAAATGGAGGGAGAATTTGAAGGGGCGTGAGTGGGAGAGGTATGTGGATGGCATGGCTTGGATTCTGAAGCATGGAGGGGGGGAAGGGAGGGAGTTCCGCTGTAGCCACTGCACTGAGGGGGGCGGCAGCAGTGGTGGCAGCAGCAGCAGTGGTGGCAGCAGCAGCAGTGACGGTATCAGCAGCAGCAGAAGCAGTGTGAGTAGTGTCATGGAAGAGAGGCTTACTCCCAAGGGCATGTATGTGAGTGGCATGGGTGCCACTGACTTCGCCCTTGCTCTTGCCACAGTGATCTCCAGGCCACCTTACTGCAAGGTGGCTCCAATGTTTCTCCAGGAGGGCAACAACCCGAGCAAGATAGGGGTGGAGGATGCAGCCATTGAGGAGGCTAGAAAGAGAGCTGGACGTCTGGGGTTGACCGGCAGAGTGAGTGAGGGAGGTAGAGGAACAGGAGGAGGAGGGGAAGAAGCTGTGTTAGCTACAGCAGACGCATGGCCAGCAGCAGCTCCTTATCCAGCTAGTTCCAGAGATTGTTTGCTTGACAACAATGTTACTTCTCTCACTCGCGGTGCTGCTTCTCACACTGCTGCCTCTGATGTCACTGGAGTGCCTGTGACCAGCTCAGGGCTCGTGCCTGTCAACACCAACGCAGCCATTGCTGTTTTGACGTACCGAGTTGCTTGCATCTTGCGATGGGTCCGAGTCTACGGCTCAGATTTCATTTCTGCAAAGGATTGCTTCAAGGACAGCCCACAGGGCAAGGTCCGGCCCATGCGCCATCCGCTTCGGGACCTTCCAAGCCTGCTTCTCAGGTTCGGCAACATCCCCGGACCTCTTGCTGGGCAGACCTTTCCCATGGAGTGGGAGGAATGGCCCCAGGGCGATGAAGCTGCTGTGAAGTTTCCTGATGACTCAAGGGCAGAATGCGTTGGCCTAGGAATTCTAGAGGAGAGTGGGATGGAAGATGAGACTAGGCGAAGATCGTCCGGCCAGTCATTGAAGGCAGGAGGTAAGAGGAGGGATCGAAGGAACAGAGGGAATGTGGGAGGCCGGGGAGGCATCAAGGACCCTCGCACCCCCAATCCATCGCCTCCTTCCATCACAAACCATTGCCGTCCCATTGTTCGCTGCATGGACGATGTGGATTACATTCTTGACTTTGCTGCTGGCCTGGCTGTCCCTCCAGCATGCACCGAGTGCAACAGATGCGCGAAACACTACACCTCCCTCATCTCCTTCGTCGCCTTTGTTGCCAACTTCGCCTATCGCCCCGCTTCTTTCCTCCTCAACTGCTTTCTCTCCGTCTTTCAATCCC